CGGGTCGCCGGCAGAAGCGTCCGATCGCGGGCATCGTCGCAGTGCGGTGCCCGGGAAAGTTTATAGGTCGCTGTACAGGTTTGCTCTAGGCTGATGGATGCGACGGCTGTGCCCCGTTGTGCAAAATAAGGCAATTTGTTAATTCAGCAGAGTCAGATGAAATGGAGGCAAAATTGTCCTTCGATAGCATCCAGGAAGGATTGCAGTCTGTCATTATATCATTCCATGTACAAATTGGAAGAAAATAGGAAGCTATCAGGAGATTCTATTTTGGTTGGGGCTTTGTAGTTAAGATCTAGTGCTCTGTAGATCTGGTACATGAAAGCTGGTCTTGATAATGTAATTTGAAAGTCAGAAGTAGCTTATGCTGGGTTAGTCCTGGTAAATTTGCCCATGGTAGGAGAAGGTCAGGTTTGAAACTACCTGAGGAACCTGAAGGTGCATGCATGCATGGGACCCAATGAGATGCATCCACAGGTGCTAACAGAGCTGACAGATGTAGTTGCCAGACCATTATCTGTCACATTTGAGAAGTCATGGCAGTCCAGTGAAGTTCCCGCTGACTGGAAAAGAGGAAACATAACCCCCATTTTTAAAGAAGGGGAAAAAAAGGAAGACCCAGGGAACTCCAGACTGGTTCGTCTCACTTTGCTGCTCAGCAAGATCATGGAGCAGATCCTCCTGGAAACTATGCTCAGGGAAAATCATTCTCTGATTCTGTGAAACTAATGCAGAGTTTGCAGAGGATGTCTCCCTCATGATTATGCTGGTTCTGATGGAACAGATCTCAATGTCATGCTCAGCATAGATCATTGTTAGAGTTATTGAGCTTGGGGTTGGTTTTTTTTTCTATAAAATATGTGTTCCTGCTGTGTCATTAGTTTTTGAATAATAATGAGTTTAATATTAGATTTATTTCTTTCTTAATTTTCTTAACCATTTATGCTATGTTCATAATTTAGGGCAATAAGTAGCTTAAAAATGCTCTGGCTTAAACTTGGCAGATTATGATTTTTGAAATATTGATAATAAAGGCTAGAGACAGCTCCAGAGGATAGAATAATCCAAGACTTCCAATCCCTTCTTCCTTTTTCAGATACTGCACTGATTTTCAGATATATAAGAAGTCACTGTGGCCCACAGCAGCCAGTAGGTAAGCAGTAGAACAAAACTTTGCACCGCTTCCTGGTCAGGTTTTTGTCAGTTTCCAGGTTGTTTACTGTCCTTTATGAATTCAAGCATTCTAATCAAGAGTTTAATGTCTTATAAATTAATATCAGGAAATGGGTGCTGATAGTATCTAAAGCAGGTGTTGGTTCTGTTTAAATATTAGAAATAATGTTTTTGTGACTATAAGGAGATGTTTATCCTACAAGGGATGGTTCAAATGGGCATCCAGTTGTGTTTGTGAAAAATACCACATTGAAAGGTGGGGAGGAAAGGAAGGATATTAAAGTTAAAATAGAGGTTCACATCTGTCCTGGTCTTCACTGTTAGTGTCACAAATTCATTGAGTATGTGAGATGTAATTTTCAACTTAAAGAAAAATGGTTTTACTATAGCCTCCCTTGTTTGCGGTAGACCAAAATGTGAATGCAATGTTAATAAATGTTACAAACTCAATACAGTTGTTATAATTATCTTGTGTGGTTCAGTGGCCAGCCTCTGTGAAGTCATTTCACATAAGAATGTCTGAAAATTGTTATTTTAATTTTTGTTCCAGGAAAAAAATATAAATTCAATATGGCACAGACTTTAGATTGGAAGAAGCTTATGAAAGTGGATCCAGATGCTCTGTCTCGTCAAGAGGAACTAGCAGACAGATTGCTGGAGACCATATTAAAGGTACTCAAGGGAAAAACAGAAGGGGGTTTGTTATACATTCTTACCTATATTGTCTCTGGTCTTCAACATGCATAAATGATTTATTCCATGGTTTTCATTGATACTTTTATAAAAACACTGTTATCTCTTTCCTTAGATTGATGGGAAAGATCTAAAAACTGAAGCTCCAGGAAAACTGATACACCTTTTTAAAATTACTCAGTCACTATTGAAGGTTTGTGTTAATTCTTACTTTCTACAATTCTGCAGATGCATTGTTATTTTTCGTTTTTTGTTTAAACGAAATCATCATTACTCTTCTCGTTTTCTTCTTCTTTCTTTTTTTTTTTTTTCCCCTCCCTGCATTGAACACACTTGTTACTCCGAAGATCATTTGTATGCTAAATGTGTGCTTGCACCACAGTATCTGCTTGTAGCCATTGGGATTACAGCATTTAGCAGTGAGAAGTGAATAGGACTAACATATAGTTAAGGAAACTTAGTTCTGTAAATAGAAATCCAAGCAAATATGTCCAAAATTGGTTAGATATTGTAAGTTATTGGTAAGGCTCTGAACTTTAATAGAAGTTTTTGTGATAGGTTGATGTTTTAGAGTAAATAGAAATGTCACCATATGTGAAGAAACACCTTCATCCTAAAACTGATTGTATCATACTTTCTTGCATTTACTCATAAATGTACTAACAGCAGGAAATAATGGCAGCACATTGCTTTTAGAGAGGCTCTTTTGTTGTTTTTGATTCTCAGCAGTATGCTTTTGAATGGTGAGGTAGCCCTGTAGAGTAAATTACTATTGAAGATATTTCAACAATCTGAACTTCTTAATTGTCAGCATGTGAAAAAATGGGAGTGGTTCCATTTGCGTAACGATAGAAAATTGATGTTCTTTTGTAAATGTTTTCATTGTTTAAAATATGAGGTCTATGGAAAAATCTTTTAAATTACATGAGTAGTAAATATTCCTTGTTTGTTTACTATACTTTTTTCCCAGATGAAAACTCAAGAGGTAGAGCTGGCACTAGAAGAAGTTGAAAAAGCTGGGGAAGAGCAAGCCAAATGTGGTAAGCAAGCCTTCTTAAGATATGCCTAAATGATTTGTTAAATATATTAGTGGTTGTTTTGAGTGTGGGTTGTTTTTGTTTGTGCTTTGGTTGGTTGGTTGTTTTTTTTTATATTTAGGAAACTGAATAAAATACCAACTGCTGTAAAGTCAATTGTTTGAGTGAAGCCATATTTGAAGACTGAGGTTAAGCATTGTTGGTTTAGGTACTTTTTACTTTATTGGGTAATTCACTATATCTGTTCCATTTTAACAGAAAATCAATTTAAAACAAAAGTCATGAAACTTCAAAATGAATTAGAGGTATGTTTAAAAATTTTCTTACTTTATAGATTGCTGTTAAGTGGTTTTTCTAAATGAGTTTTTTTTCTTAGACTAGCGTTTCAATCTAGTAAAAAGACGTAATAGCCCTACATTTTCACTAATACTTTTTATTGGCTTTTGAATATTCGCCAGCCTCAGGTTTGCAAAGTGCTGTATATACAGTGAGTTTTTTATGCTTCAATAAATTCCATTTATTTTTAGAAATTTCTGGGTATTGTTGAAGGAAGTTAGTGAGCCCTTCCTGTTGCTTTTCCTGAACATTAGGGACATTAATCTTAGCATCTGCTGTGGGTTTTTTTAGTTCTTTCTGGTCTGAAAAACTGTACTATACTCATAATGTTATTTTAATGCTTTTAAGATGGCACAAAAATCTGCTGGTGGTCGTGATACTCGTTTTTTGCGTGATGAGATCCGCCAACTGGAAAAACAATTAGAACAAAAAGAGAGAGAGTTAACAGATATAGAAAAAGAATTGGAAAAAGAGAAGAAAGTGAATGAACAGGTAAGAAGGAATTCAGCTTTACATCTCCAAAAGCTGTTCTGGCACATCTTCTGAAAAGTCGATGTTCTGAAAAGAGCCTCTGAAATTAGAAAAAAACCCAAACCCTCTGGTGAAATCAGACTGCTCTGCATATGTTTTCAGGTTTGTTTCTGGAGTTCCTTGTTTTCATAGTTTGTTCTTTTAGTGATACATAAAAAGGTTTTCTGTCGTTGTTGTAGCTTGCTCTTCGAAATGAAGATGCCGAAAATGATAACATCAAATTAAGGAGAGAGGTTAGTAAAGAGTTATTGCTGATCTACTGTATTTTTAACTTTCTTTATAAAACATTCGCTTTCTGTGTTTATAATCTTTGGCGTGGCATGATGTTTAATTCTGGTTTAGAAGGTTTCCTGGTTACTGGTACAAAGAGAATACAGAATTTTAATCACATTTGGTAAATATATAGTACGTCTGCTCCAATGGAATATAATTAATTGACGTCAGGAGGTGTCACCACTTAAATTTACGTAGTTCTACTGTGCATTAATTTTTTCTGGATCTTGTGTTTGAATTTTTAGTATTTTCCTTAAATACTACTGACAAATAGGTTTGGTAGATATTAGGATTTGGTTTATACTTGTTGCTTTTGCTAAGATTATCTGATTGGTTAATATAAAATTATAAAAAGTTAAAAGTTAATAAAACAATAAATGCAAAGATAGAGCCAACATTCTTTATTCCTAGATTATTTTTTTCTTGTTATTCTTTTGAAACACTTTCTTGTAGCCATTTTTAGAAAAAAGTACGTTTTAGAGCATTTAATACCTGTAATCTTGGCCTTTGGGAGAATAAAACAGACAGCAAAAGTTAAATTAGTGTCCATGGGGAAATCTTTGAGAATCATTCCTCAAAATGCCCTTTTATGGACGTGTATGTATGCTTGTATATGCATACACATACACAGGTATAGAGAAATCTCTATTTCGTCTCTACCTTGATTCCTATTTAGTCTTCTGAAAGATAATTTCTAATGCTTTTCATGCTTTATTTTCTTGGTCTTGTTCTCTCCTTTTTAATCCGAAGAAAAAACGCTTGCAGAAAAAGGTGAGGCTTCTAAGTATTTTAAAAGCAGACTGTAGGAACTTGGATGGGGTTTGACTGTAATAGCTCTTTGTGTTAGCTTGCTAGAAAAGCAACATCTTTGTCTTTAACTCTTTAAAATAGATTTAAGTTTGGATTGCTTTTGTGCAGAATGAACAGTTGCGTCAGGATGTAGTTGACTATCAGAGGCAAATAGATTCTCAGAAAGAAACAGTTCTGTTACGAAGAGAAGAGGATTCTGATTACAGATCACAGTTATCCAAAAAGAACTTTGAGCTTGTCCAGTATTTGGATGAAATTCAGGTAAAATCTATGCATGCTATTGAATATTTATTAGACTGTTACTGACAATAGTGTTTTTCACAAAGCTATGTCCAACTCATGTGAAGTAAGGGAATTCGTAATGCAGTTAAGTTCTGTGATGCATATGCATAGCACTGGTGAATCTAGCAGAGGTAGTTAAGTCACTGGAAATGGGAGATGTCTCTTTTGTTTGCTGCTAGGGTTTATTGCAGTTGATCTGCAGGTGAAATACTCTCTTCTGTGCTAATTTCTTGTAAGACTTTCAAGTCTTAACGTTTAAGGTAGCTATCAAGTAGTGCTTATTCAGGTCTTCAGATGTGCACTATTTAAAAGCAACTTTTTCTTTAATTTTGCAGAATTTGACTGAAGCTAATGAGAAGTTAGACATTCAAAACCAAGAAATGAGGAAGAATCTTGAGGAATCAGTACAAGAAATGGAAAAGATGACTGATGAATATAACAAAATGAAACTAATTGTGCAACAATCTGATACTCTTATGGATCACTTGAGAAAAGAGAAAGAACAGTACAAATTTCAAGTAAGAACTTGCCTCATATTTTAATTTAAAATAAAAAAACATTCAACATATCCAGTTGAAAACATACACTGTATGGAAATAACATGCTCTGAAAGTAATATGATCTTTAAATTTGGTGCAAATTTTAAAAATTGTCTGCAGATTTTTTGTGCAAAATTTTAGTCATACTGCTGTTCTCAAGAGTCATGATCTTCCCTTGCTTCTGTAATGCTTATCTGTTAAATTGTATGTATGTGTTATATGTATAATGTGTTTGTACATATATATTAAGCAAAACATTTGTGTGATATGATACTAATTCAAATGGCATTTCTAGGTTCAGGAGCTTTCAGACCAGCTGAAAGCAAAGAATGAAGAAGACTATCCACTTATGGCAGCCGTAAATGCAAAAGTTGAAGAATGGAAGGTACTTTTTAATACTTTTTTGTTTTCTGGGGGGATTATTTCAAGTGTTCTGATTGTATTTTATCTTCTTTTCAGAGTATCTTGGCTTCAAAAGATGATGAACTCCTACAGTATCAGCAAATGTTGTTTAACTTGAAAGAGAAATTGAGAATGGCCCAACTTGACGTAGACAGAAACAATATAATGGCCCTTCAGCAGGTACAGTCTGTGTGAGAAATTACACACACAGAAATCACCGCTCACTAAATATGCTAGTGACCAGATAATTATTTAGTCATTCATAGTCTGCAAATACCACAATATGTGTTGCTTAAGTTTGAGTATTATGAGACAGGTCAAGTCATTCCACTGCGAAGATAGCTTAATAGACAGTGCGCAAAGGAAACTTCTCTTGCTGTGTGTATGAACTGAGCTCTTGGTGGTAGTTGTTTCTGCTAGTTTCATATTTGTCTTTTCCATTAGTACAGTGATTGCTTTAAATTGTAAGCATCCATAATTTGATATTTTTATATTATAGCTTAGTTTCTGTCTTCTAAATTTGTTAGTCAAGGAAGACTCTTACTAGTGTTTAATTTTCTGTTTCTTTGTCTCATCTCATGCCTTACTATTAAGTCTGTGCTTCAGCCCATGAAGAGTAGCTCTCACATAGCTCTATGATTTTGAATTTTTCTTCACAAACATGAAGAGAATAAATAAATAAGCAGCCCATTAGTAACAGTGAAAGACACATCAAGGAAAGCATACTATATGATACAGGATGATTTTGTGCCTTGCTTCGAGGAGTCATTTGACATTTGTAGTACATGTTGGGCCCTTGTAGATTGAGCAGTGTGGTGAGATAAATTTATGCAGTCTTCCAAAACTAGGAACAGAGAGCTTACCAGGAAAAAAAAAAAGAGAAAAAAACCTTAGGTGCAAATCAGCCTCCTCCTCTTCAGAAGAGGAAGGCAGCTGAAAGTAGCTTTAATAAGCAGTTGTAGAGTCTGGCTTTAGCTGACTAGATGGCTCTAGAGGTTGGTTTTTTGAATGACCATCATTAGCACAACATTTTGGATGGTTTTGTGGAAATAAGTGTATTTTTAAAGCAGGCACTTTAAAGTCAAATCTATTTACTGTGCTGCGTTTTAACTCAAAATGGACTTAGCTTGTTATGCTTTAGTGTATGTTCACATTCTAAAGGGTTATGTTTAGCTCCTTACTGTGGTTATATTTGTCATCTAAGAAAGCCTGAGCTTTTGTTTTTCATAATATTGGTGTAAAGCAAGGTCAGCAACTCTTGAGATTTTTTACGTTATAATTACTGTCTGTAACTTTTTTCCAAGTATCTTTTTTATCTTTTTCCTCTTTTTTTTTGTTCATCACAGAAAAAACAACATTAAGCTGTCTATGATATTTCTAAAGTTCACGTATAAGCACAGAAATAGTATATTTAAATAGAAGTAACTTTCACAGTCTGTGTATACTTATGGATGTGTATGCATGCAAAATAAGGTGTGATATGACTTTTTAAAAGTTGGATGCCTTGCTGAAAGACAGTCTGCAATACAGGTGTCATGTATGATGGGTTGGTAGTCCTCCCAGTCTTGAACTTGTATCTCGTTTCCCACTGGCAATTGTTTATGAGGAAGCTGTAAGAAACATGTATCATCTGAAACTTTTCATCATACATTGTTTAACTCTGAGAGAACTGTTCCATTTAAAAACAGTATACTAAAATACTACTTTGCGTATGTGTGTGTTTGAATGCTTTATTTTTTACTCACTCTTTTATTTTTCACTCACTCTTTTATTTTTCCTGCTTTTCCTCTATATATCCAACTTCTAGATAATATCTGAACTCTCTGTTGTAAGTACAGTATATTTGGTGTTCTATAAATTGTTTTGTCTTAGCTACTTTTAATTTTGTTTATTATGTGGTGTTCTATATTGGTAGCTTGCCTTTCAGTAAAGAATTCTTAATGGAGTTGGTTTTTTTTGTGTGTAGGGTGTGCAAGAGCGGGATGCGCAGATACTATTGCTTACTGAGCAAGTTGAACAGTATACCAAAGAAATGGAACAAAATGCACTGCTAATTGAGGAATTAAGAAATGATCTCCAAAAAGATAAAGGTAGCGATCATTTTATTTTAATGTCTATGAAAAGGGCAGTAAGAAACAAATTTACTGAACATTCTTTATTCACTAGAAATGCCGAAAAAATACTTGCAGTTTATGAGTAATATTAGTATCTTTGTTTTTTTTGTTCATTTTCATTTATTAAATATTCATGAAGAGTTTGAATTCATTCACAGTAATTCAGTGGGGTTTATGGCTAATGCAGCGTGTAGTAAACTATACCTGGTCTGTAAGGGTTAAAGCATAGCATATCAGATCTCAGCTTTATCAAGAATTGCAAGTGAGTAGTAGCATGCAATTCAAAATGAATTCTAATTCACTTTTAATATACTATATTTATACTATATACAAAAAAATTATGTGCATTTCTTATAAATATTGTTTGAACAATTAGGGGGGGGAAAGCACTCATCTGGTCCTTTGTGATTACTTAATTGAAAAGAGAAGCAAAAGCAAGTTCTCCTTTGTAACATCATCCAAAGTGTTTTTTTCTTGTTTGATGGCTGATAACAAGAATTCCTAGTTGTAAACAGATCAAGGTTTTTCTTTACAGGTCACTCATCTCTTGCTCAGCAGAATCACATTGGGGAAATGCAAGAAAAGTTGAAAATGCTGGAAGAGAAAACTAAGGAGGCTGAGAAATCAGCAGAATTAGCAGAAGCAGATGCTAGAGAAAAGGACAAAGAGCTTGTTGAGACTCTGAAACGAATGAGAGACTATGAACTGGTAAAGAGTGTGTCAGACTGGAGAGGGTATTTTATCGTATTTTAAGGAGATCATTTTATCCTTCCACTTTTTAATGAGTCTGTTCTAATTAGAAATTAAATTAAAGATTTCTGATGCTGGTTTTTTGGTTGGCTTTTTTTTTTTCCCCCTTAATAATAACATTTAGCATTCCGACGCCAGGTTGGACAGTGTTGGATGACATGGTCTAGGGTAAGGTGTCCCTGCTCATGGCAGGGGGGTTGGAACTAGGTAATCTTAAGATCCTTTCCAACCCTAACCATTCTATAATTCTATAGCAGTCAGTGACTTCTTGCAATTTGTTAGCCATATTTAACAATTTGTACAAGTTATCTGTTTTAACATATTAATATGGGCTTCTGAACTCCATTGAGCATAAACTGAACACTCAAGATATGATTCTTCAAAGAATCATGTAGGAAGAGGACTCAGTTTTGAAATATGCAGAGACTCCTCTGAAGTTAAAAGACAAATTTGTAGATTTTGATTTTTATGCAGTAACTTTTTTCCGTAAGCATAGTACAGAAGAGTTGTACAGTTTGAAAAGCATTTTTCTTACCTGTGTAGTGATGAAAACCATAATTAATTTTCTTACCTCTGCTGTTGGTTGGTTTACTTTTACTTTCCATTTGGTTTCAGGGAGTATATGGTTTGGAAGAGGCTGTTGCTGAAATAAATGATTTAAAAAAGCAAATCAGAATACGAGATCATGAGATTGAAACATTAATTAAGGAAGGCAATAAACTTGAACTTAAAATAAATGATTTTCTTGATGAAAATGAAGAACTCAGAGAGCGCTTAGGTATGCTATATCCATTATGTTTTCGATTATTTTTTTGTGTAAGAATTGAAATAATATTCTACCATGGAAATGTTACTATACCAAGTAACTGCTTGGAAATGACTTTGGATATTCTGGTAATATTTACAAGTAGCAAGTTAGGACAAACTGCATGAATGTACATGGCTTGCAGGTTGCTTCGACAGAAGGAAATAGAGTAGGTTTTGTAGTGCTTTTTTGGGATTGATTCCTCTTTGACTGTGCACTGCTTAATTAATTTCACAATAAACTATCTGGAAACTGAAATGGTAGTGCTGGATTGAAAAACAGAGAAGACTTTTGACAGGCTTATTTTTACACAGAAGAATCTAACCATAAATGTAGTTAATTTTAATCTAAACAAATATAGTTAAGGCGGCATTTTATTGCATTTTGGGTTTTGAGTAACTGAAGTAAAATTATGCTTTTTCCTGGTGTTACTATATGGAGCATAAGATGTATACACATATAAAAGTACATATATTTAACTATTGACTTTTTTTAAAATTACTCAACTAGTTTTGTTCTTATTTAAATTAACTGCATTCTAATGATTGCTAACATTAGTGTGCCTGCTTAATGAATGATTATATAGTGTATACCGTGTTTTAGGTCTTGAGCCAAAGACAATGATTGATTTAAGTGATTTCAGAAACAGCAAAGCACTGAAGCAGCAGCAGTACAGAGCTGAAAACCAGATTCTCTTGCAAGAGGCAAGTGATAAATCTTATTTTTGTGTAAGAGCTACATAATAAAAATGTGTTTGAACAAAATGAAATACTGATCTGTAAACAATAATACACAGATTGAAAGTCTAGAAGAAGAAAGGATCGAATTGAAAAAACAGATTCGTAAGTTGGCTCAGGAGAAAGGAAGAATTGCAACAATAGGTAGGAATTTTTTTGTTTGTTATAAACTGTTCTTTCAAAAACATGTTGTCTGTACCTATTAATATAACTATATTTACTCATTTGTTTAAATTACAAGGCTAAATACATTGAATTGAATCTGTAGGAAGAGGTGAGTGGTTTTGTATTTTCATAGTCTTATAGCCCAGTAGCTTTTTGACTTGTAATGGCTAGTAGTGCATCACTGAGAGTTGTCGTTGGCTTGGAGTTCTTAGATGCAGGATGTTCTCACGATGATTTCAAAGAGATCTGTATAATGTATGTGTTTCAGAAATCTTAACATTTCAACTCTGTGCCACCCAGGGAAGTGTGTGCACAAATGGAAGGCTTTACAGCTCCTTCCTTTGCGGGTAGAAAACCAGAACTCAGATATATTAAGCGGAATATATTCCTTTGCTTGGAAAGTTAAAAATTCACAATCGTTTATCATGTGTACATTTACTTGCAATTAGGATTGGATGCTGGTGACATAAAATTAACTGATAGCTTTACTGAAGAGAAGGGAATGAGTAAGAGGAAGTTGGATTTCTTTAACAGACAGGATATTACTGAAGTAAAAGCAAAGGTAGGTTCATAAAGCAAGTTCATAAACATTTATTGTTTTTTGAAATAAAAATGATGTTATTTTGTAAATATCTGTTCAAATATTTCTCTAGGTGCTTTTATTCACAACTCTTAAAGAATTGCTAATTTGTAGGGATTTTTTTTTTTAGTAAACTAATGAATGTTCTGAAATTTTTGTGAATATAGGCTAGCAGCTCATGTAACATGGAAGGGAGAAATACATTTGCAGATAGAGAAGCAGCAGTTAGACTTCTGAAGTCAGAGAAAGATATAGCTGAAAACAGTAAGGCTGCAAGTCGTCTACCTAGAGGAACTTCTAGCGTACTTCAGAATTCGGATCACTTGGAAAAAAGTAGAATCACAGAATAGTTAGGGTTGGAAAGGACCTTAAGATCATCTAGTTCCAACCCCCCTGCCATGAGCAAGGGACACCACACACTAAACTATGTCACCCAAGGCTCTGTCCAGTCTGGCCTTGAACACCGCCAGGGTTGGAGCATTCACAACTTCCTTGGACAACCTATTCCAGTGCCTCACCACCCTGTTGCGTTCAGAGGAAAGGGACTTTGGCAGAAAATAAACCCCCTTTGTGTTCCAGCTGGTCCTCAGATATTAGAGGGGCTGGGTGAGGCTAGGCTTAGATTCCGAGTGATGTCCAATTTACCACTATCAGTCCAGTTGCATTCAATATATTGAATAATCACAGTTCCGGATGCACTAATAGTGCACTGCACCTTCAGTCTAATCGTGCTCATGAACTAACATGGCCACACGGAAGGATCTGGTCGTGTTCAATGAGAGATTTACGACTAGCTACTTAAACAGTGCAGTCTATTAAAGCAACAGATACAGGTTCTTGTGGATTGCCTGTGATACATTCACTGTCTTCAAAAGCACGTGCAAATAGTAAAACAGAAAAACGCACGACAAAGTTA